CAAGTCTGGAGTGGCTCCGGAGTGAACCCAACCCAAGTTGGAGTGGGTTGAGGACTAGTTCAACCCAACCCAACCCAACCCATTAACAACCCTATAAATATGTAATCTGTTTACATAATGATAGTTAAAATAATAATACGATACTAAAAAAAATCATTATTTTTCATTTCTTATTATTTACAACTTCTTTCGATAATGCATTTGAAAAATTGCTTTTCCAAGTAAAACCTTTATTACATGTGAAAATTTTGATTTCTATAATGTTTTCAAGATCCATCAATTACATAATTGAGAATGAAAAAGATCGTTATTAGGTGAAAGATATTCGTTATCTGGGTAGTAATTATAGGAATTCTAAAAATAGATAATCTAATATATAGTCTATTTTTAGAATTCCTGGTTTTCACTTGCGACACCCAAATATTTAAATTATTGGAAAACCCGTGATTGATAGAACATGTGGACGGTAAAAAGTAGAAACCAAAGAATTTGACTTTGTAAAAAAAATCGATACGTATCTAAACTTTAATAGCTACCGCGCATTTGCGAAATTAAGCTAAAATTCGATCACCAAATTACATATTATCTTCTAAATACAGGAAAATTTTTGGAATCTCTGATCTATATCGATAGCGCGTCTAATGCATTTTCCCCACTTCATTGAGTATAGAAATTTATATATAATGACGCGCCCTAACCCTGGGAACATTGATTAACAAAAATCAATATTACATTGGGGGGTATTTCGTACATGCGCCGCAATGAATATCTTGATAAATCTTAAAGCTATCTTGATAATTTAAGATTGATAAGAAACTTTAAATCTTAAAGTTTCTTTTTAAGATAGCTTTAAAATTTATCAAGATATTGGCTATTAAAGTTTAGGTATTAATTTTTTTTTTTTTACAAAGTCAAATTCATTGGTTTTTACTTTTGACGAGATTTGTGACACAATGGTTTTTAATTCAACGTAACATATGCGAGATACTGTAAAGGGTATCAATCTTGAAGTGATCACGATTGTAGATTATAAAAATTGCTCATTGATTGTGGCTAAATTAATTGCCTCTCTGTTTTTTACATGACGTTTTTTTGCAAATAATTGCAATTATATGGTTTCAATTATTTTTTTCATACCAGAAAAAAATTGATTTTGTATGATTTTTCAGGTTATAGGACTAGCAAAAAAATCCTTTAATACATTGGAAAGGTATTCTACTAGAACTATCTAAGAGATTATGAATCTTATCCTTCTTTGTAATCTAAAACTCACTCCTTATATATCTTAAAATTTACTTGGGGTTTTAAACCTTCGTTTGGGGGTTTGAACTCCATCTTGAGGTTAGTAATCCTTGTTAGAGGTTCTTAACTCTCATTCAGAGTTTATAACTTCCCACCTTATTCGTATCATTCATCTGGATATGTTAATCTTTACTAATCAAATACATATCAATAAAAATAAAATATCTATACTAAATAAAAATAATAAAGAAATAGAATATAAAATAAAATAAATACCGGACAATGTCTCATATCATATTGTTTATCAAACAACCTAATTGGCTAACACAGCTGTTCTTATTATAATTTTAATTCTCCAGAACAAAAAAATATTAGCAGATATGTCTAGAATATCCTGTTCCAAACTATCTATTGTTTATATCCTGTGACAACATTGGCTTTAAGCAGTTCTTTTGTACCTTTTAATAGTTCTGAGTTTTTTCATTAATGGCTATTCTTTGAATTGATTTGCGCTATTCTTGTTTGCTATGATTGGCATTAAAAAAGTCAGTAAGAAAATTGTGTTATATAATCCTTGTCTATTTCGTCAAAAATTTCATGCAGAATTTTATCTCATAATTCTTGATCTAAGAAAAGGGATAGTTCCAAATATAGCTAGAGATCCTTAACAGAATAATTATTAAATTTGAGTAATATATTTCTAGAATATCTTATTCAGTCTGAGTTGCTGATATATTATAATCAAGAATATCATAAACGATTATCTATAATAAGACAAAATAAATTAATATTTTTTTATCATATCAGTATGTATTACAAAATATGCAAACCTTGTTTTTATCTAAATATTTTTTCTCGTTTAAATTACCACTGTTATCTTCTTTATCGTCAATACTATCATTATTGCTGTTATTATCTCTCTCATTATTTTGAATATCATTATTATTAAAGTATTGAATATCGTTATTGTTAAGGTACTCATCATTTTGAATATCATTATTTTTAAGGTATTCATCATCTTGAACATCTTTATTGTTAAGGTACTCATCATCTAAATTATATAAACTACTGTGAAATCCTTGAGAGGAATTTTTAAGAGAATTGATACCTAATTCCTTTTCAGTTACTGCTTCTTCTTTGTTTTTTTAAAAAAAATTTTCATTCTTCTGAGAAGAAGTTCTAGAGGAATTTACATCCTTATCTATTACTGATTCTTCACAATAATCTAGTATAATAACTCTTCTACTTTTCGTATAATGTTGTTTTATCTTGCTTTGATCTTTATAATTATTCTAAAAATATTAAATTAGTTTCTGCTAATTTCTGATTTATCAATAAAAAATACACATCTATACCTTCTTCTGATTTACTTGCTTTCTTTTTATTAACTGTATAATATTTACCTATAATTCAAAACAATTATTGAATAAGGTACACAATCAGATAGTGTAATTTACTTTGAAATCAATAGATATTCTCATATCTTGACAATGCTTATTGGTGACTTGGGTTACAAAATCTCTGGTTGCAAGATGTTCTACCTAAATAGTAAAAATATTTGTTTAGTATTTTTTTTTTTTGTTTCTGTTTAAGCAATTTCCAAAATAAAATCTTACCTAAAAATGTCGAACATTCAAACATATATCTAAATTCTCTGATGAAACTCAATTCTCAAAAAAATAAACTTGGAGTCAATAATATTTACAAGAAATATTTCATAATACATCTCACAATAACAATAAGGTTAGCTTGCGATAAATGTTGAATACTACAAACTAACTGTCCAGATTGTATTAAGCATTGAACAAGCAGTTTATTACTAACAAGAGCTTATTCCTTCAGACAAGCTATCTCAGCTTGCACAGGCATCGATCAAGCAGTTTGTTACTGAGAACTAGCTTCTACTAATATTCCTAGTTTGTATCAAGTGCAAACAAGTAGTTCATAACTGTTCAGAATAAACTCTTAATACACAAAAGTTCTATCTCTAAGTAACAAACTTTTCAATTATAGAGAATTTCTCAAGCTTTGCATTTATGTGATTCATCAAATTGGGAATCAGAATCAGATAATATTTTTAGATTCTTGTATATACTTTCTAGTACTCTTTTCCTTTTTTCACCTGTTTTTTTTCGATAATAGTCTATTATATTAGTGTATATCCAGTTTTCGATTGCAGTAGTATAATAAAAAGCTATGAGAGTGAGTATTAATTGTGTAGACATATCCGCAAAAAATATATTTTTCATGTTGCAATATTAATATATGGATAAAAATATATGATCACATAATACTATATAAGTATTATAGAGATAATAGTGATACAATGCTGATTCTGTCTGCACATAATGATTATCTATATAACGATTAGGGTTTACTATTTTTTGCTATGACAGATCCCAAATTCTGCCTGCTTTACAATTCGATTTATACGAATTATACAATAAATTTTTTATAATTATGCTGCTGATTATACAAATAGTAATAGTAGTAATATGTGAAATATGTATTTACTAGAGTTGTAAATTTATCTTATCATAATTTATAAATTTTTATGTAAGTTATATAAACTCCTCTATTTCCTGACAACTATGCTTGTAATCATAGGCAGACTTTCATCTGATTAGCTGATGTAAATTAATTGCCTAAGTAGCTTATTTATATATTTTAAAGTGTTTCACTAACAAAAAAACCAAATTGTAGTTCTTAACGAACATTATTATTTATTGTTAAAATTAAGCTACCTTTCTAAGAACTTCACTTTGAAGCGAATATTTTATTATATACTTACTAGTACTAGTTATATTAACTATATATAAGTTTAAGGTCTAGTGACCTAGTATAGTAGTCAGATTATCAGACCACTATGCAATAGGTTTGGGGTTTAAATCCTACTGTTGACAAATTTGAATAATACCTAGACCTGTATACCAAACTTATGGAAAATCTGCTCGTTTCTGAAAAGGGAGTCCTTGGAGATGTAATAAAACCCTGTAAAAAATAGTATTGCACTAAGTTAATCAGACATTAGGAGTATGATGATAACATTATACAAATAAATCTGCATTAGATATATAAGCAGAAGACCTGCATAGTAGAAATCTTCAGATCATCGCTTTGATCTGAATAAATGCACTAAATATAATACGTGAGGTTAAACAAAATTCGTAGACACGTGTTTATTGACCATCAGAATTAGGGCTAGCGCCGATTTGCGATAGCATAATCTGCGTATAAATGCATATACGATAGCATATTCGCATACATAATCTGCGCATAAAATGGCCAGAATTTTAAAGATAGAATATCGGCGCATTACAGGAGAATAGACTGTCAACGAACACAAAACACGAGCATGATTTCGGGGATTTTCGGGAAGTAGAGTACGAGCATAATAGAAAGACATTTATCTGATTGGCCAAGTTTTATAGATCTACCTGTAATTTCCCGTGATAATTAGCCAATCATATTATATAATTCGTAAGTAGATAATTCCTTAACCGGAAATTTCTGAACAATAGGAGTCCTGTATTAAATGTTGGAAAAAAAG